GTTATAAAAGTCATGTAAATTAATCATTAATTCACCAAGAGCTAAAAATTTTTCTACATCTATGGAAAATACGTAAAATGTATAACCTTATGTAATAAGTAACATATTCATCAGATCCTACAAGATTAAAAAATTAAAAAAATCCCGAGTATTATTCACTGTTCCTGGGATAAACATCAATCTTACTTTATTAACTATATTAATTTAGACAACCCAATTGAGGGGGCAATTGTGTTGTTAGGACGAGAGAATCATTTATTGACATCATTAGTCTTATGTGCATCTAAATTCAATCAAAGAACCATACGACTCGGATGAAGGTGAGGGGATAAAAAGCTCAAGTATCGATATTGTATCATGCGATACCGATAATATCATAATGTAGGCAATTATATAATGTTTGTATATTTATATGCATTATCTACTTTTTCTAGCCTTTGTCTAGTCCACATGGGGTGAATTACCTACGAGTCTCAAGTTCGTCATTGTTGAAAAACACAAATAATTGTGGTACTTATTTTTTTAAAATATAATTAATATTTTGTTCGCAGGTAGCGTGACTGGTGCCCCAAAGCTGTTCAGTTTTCTACAAGTCGCAAGTCGACATACTGTACTCACATCAACCGTTTATGCAATCTTAGGCTAAAATCATGGCTTGTCACGTCCTATACTAATTGTTTATTATTTAAACAAAATAAAATCTTTCTAAATTGAAAAATACTGTTATAAATTATGAAAACTTTAGCTCAACAATGAAAATAAAATAATGTTATAATATAAATATAAAAAAAAATGTTTTATTTCTTCTTCCTTGAAATAGTTTATGTTGATTTGTCTTTGACCGTGTGGTGAGAGTCGCTACCCCATTCATCCCGTGGGTGTTGTAAGAGCCGACTAATGGAGCAAACTACGCAGGACAACAGCACTGCAAAGAGAAGGAAAACTTGACACAAACCCTTTACCAACCCGTCTGGTAGCGTAGTATAGTAGGCCAAAACCTTCTTTCTAAGGTGAGGCCTATGTCCAGCAGTGCACTATTATAGGCTGTTGATGATGATTGATGATGATGATGGTTTGTCTTTTGAAGAAGGGAAACCGTTAGATGTGTGTGTGTGTGTAGCACAGAACCGGGTTGTTGTGGAGAGAATATTAATATTTTGACACATAACTGCATGAAGTTGTAAAACTTGATGCAGTTATGTGTAATGTAAAAACAACAAGACAATTAAATAGTACATAATATGTGATTTAATGAAATGATAAATAGAAGTACTTACATGATTATTTGCGATCTTCTTATACTTCTTGAATATCCTGGATAAAGCCTGGTACTCATAGTAGTGTGGATGTGCCGTTTGGCTTTGAGATAGGATTATTCTTACAGCTACTTTGGCATTCAGCTGATGATCAGGGATTGCCGGTCCCTATAGAGTTCTATGCTATCAAAATAAAACAATTCAGATCCTACTACGCACAGAAAAACATTATTACTCTAGAAATGCAATCCAAGAATTATAAATGGAAAATGTGATCCAGGTCCAGGATCATATTGTCAGGTCACAGAGGTGAATACTTAACGTAGGGCTTAAAATACTCTGTTGAGACGACTTAGAAATTCATCCCCAAATGCTTTCCTATATTTAGCAATAATTTGGGCGCAATTCGATGGCTTATAGTCATGATATTTAAGAATTATAGGACAATTGTACCCTTGTTTTGTATCTATACAGTTAAAATATTAAAAAAAAATATCAGTCATGTTGTTACTATACAATGTGTCTGGGTTCGGACTGTACAAACTTTAGGGGGTGATAGTTTGCTCTATTTTATCACTAAAATCATTCTACAGGTGGGGTCTAAACCCAACGGCCTCTGAATGACAGCCATTTTTGTATTTTGGTTGACTTTTTCGTAGCGTCCATACTAAAAGTTATGTAACTTTGGAGTTTAATGTCCGATTATCGTAAAACAAAAACTTCCCATAACGGAAAAGTATTAGCAATCAGATAAATAACTCAAATAATTTTAATAATTGCTGTATCATATTAAAATGAATGCTAAAAGATCAACTTTACGTTAAAATTAACATTGTTTTTTAGTATTTCAAGGCTATTACAAAAAATACCCCTGTGAACTATCTCTTATTATGCACGTGTCTCAGAGATGGTAAGCTGACCTAAATAATGATACCAAAAACTCGATTCTATGACAACTGGTGTAAGAGATATTGTTGCTCGAACGCAGCCCTTCCGTGCGTAAGATATGAACGAGCACCGCAATCTACACTTGTGGATGGCTGAAAATCCACATGCTGTTAGAACATCAACATTTCAGCATGAATTTTCTGTTAATGTGTGGGCAGCTATGATCGATGATCAATTGATTGGCCCCATCGTACTCCCAAGAAATTTAAATGGCCCAAGATTTTTAGAGTTTCTGACCAATTAATTTTCTGAATCGTTATTAGAATTACCATTGTCATATCGGCGACGCATGTGGCTTCAGTTAGATGGAGCTCCTCCACACTTCGCCCGGGCGGTAAGGGCACACCTAGACCAATATCATCCACAGTGGATTGGCCGCTGCGGTCCTGTAGCCTGGCCACCGCGTTCACCATACTTAACGCCACTGGTTTTTTATCTCTGGGGTTGGATGAAACAGAAAGTTTATTTTGAGCCAGTCAACACCAGAAAAGAGTTGCTGGAGCGTATTCGCGTTGCTGCTGCCGAAATTAAAGATAATCCGAACCAGTTGAGACGGTCAACACAGCAGGTAGCGAACCGGGCTACTGCGTGCCTTCAAAGTGGTGGGGGACATTTTGAACAATTATTGTAAATGTACATTTGTTATTAAATAATTAATACTTGTTATTTTGTTTATCTTTGCTAATCACTGTAAATATCTAAAGAAAAACCAAATCGTTATGAATTCACTACATGCACAAGCCTATGTTCCAACAACAATATTTTTTAAACCAATTGTCATAGAATCGAGTTTTTGGTAACATTATTTAGGTAAGCTTACTATCTGTGAGACACGTGCATAATAAGAGATAGTTCACAGGGGTATTTTTTGTAATAGCCTTGAAATACTAAAAAACAATGTTAATTTTGACGTAAAGTTGATGTTTTAGCATTCATTTTAATATGATACAGCAATTATTAAAATTATTTGAGTTATTTATCTGATTGCTAATACTTTTCCGTTATGGGAAGTTTTTGTTTTACGATAATCGGACATTAAACTCCAAAGTTACATAACTTTTAGTATGGACGCTACGAAAAAGTCAACCAAAATACAAAAATGGCTGCCATTCAGAGGCCGTTGGGTTTAGACCCCACCTGTAGAATGATTTTAGTGATAAAATAGAGCAAACTATCACCCCCTAAAGTTTGTACAGTCCGAACCCAGACACATATCGTCTTATACTTACGAATCGATTTATTCTTAGAGGCATGCTTCCTGCACCTCTGTGGTAGTGACAGAGTGGTTCTTGTAATTTTCATCCGAGTTAGTAAATAAGCACTGGCTTTTAAAGACGCCTACAATTACATACCAACGACACCATATGAAAGTCACAAGTGCTATTCGTCGCTTATTCTATGGAGCTCATGTGACCGTAGTCATCGATAGAGAAATAATGTAATTACAGCACACGACTTGCAGCAGCGTCTCATCGAGCTCTTCTAGATCAAAGCTATGCCTAGCTTGGGAAGTTCTAATAAGTTCTATACGTAAAGGCGTTGACAAAACACGATGCTTATAAACATATTGTAGAGAAGTTAGTTTTCATTATTTTACCAGTTTAGATCAATCATGTCATACATTTCACATAAGTCGTTTCAAATTGCGGCTAAGCGGTCGCCATGCCGCTTCATACTACGCTGAGTTAGCCACAGCCACTCTTTGCCTTCTTTTTAGTGTGTATGTGTGTGTGTGTGATGTAGAGCCTCTCAAGGATCTACAACAGGAGATCCGAAAAACGAAACCAAAAACGTTGCATAATTCAATCAGGCAGTTAATGTTCCTATTTTATCGCAACTCTAGGAGTCTGCTGGAGCTGGATATAGGTCTCTCCTTTCTAAGGGCCTTTATCCAGCAGTGGACTAAAGTTGTTGATGATTATTGTTACTTTAATATATTATATTCTTAATTTTACAATAATGTTAATTCTTTAGTGCTCATTAAATAACTTAAACTTAAAAAAAGTAAGACCAGTATAATTTTTTTTATTAAAATATCGCACGTTTAGTTTGTGAAATTGAAATATGTATCTGTTCATTTAAAAGGTAACATTTTAGTATAATAGTAGTAGTAACGGTTCAAGGGATCTATGGTTATTCAATAACTGTTACATATAATCCTAATAGTACTGGAGAAGTAGTAAGATCGACAAAAACCCAGCCAAAGAGTTTTCCATACTATTATACTACTGTAAAGTAGAGATGGAAAACTCTCATAGTCAAAAAATGTGATTTGGTCAGCTGTAACATTAATAATGATTTCGAAATAATAACAAATTAAATTTGAACAAAAATATTTATTTTCTATAAACTAAATCACTGAATAGAGTATGTTAAAACTCCAGCGCCCCTTCTAAGCATAATCAAAATAACAAGTTAATTCGGTAACACAATATAATTCTAATACTTATAATATTAGAATTCGATAAATATTTACAGATTTGCTTTTAGGTAATGGCAGAATACTTCTTATACTACAATCACCTCGTAACATACGATAAATTAAGTATTTTTTCTATAAAAATAATAACATTATGAACTGTATTTTGATCATTACTCGTGAAAATCCATTCATTACAATATTGTGACTTAAGTTGATCTTATTGTAAGTATAAATTTAACTATTAAGTTATTGAGACAGCTTTATCTACTTCATATAATATGTCAATTAATAATATTTATTTTAGGGTATCTTCACTTTTCCACACAAGCGGTATTAATAGAGATTGAGAAACGACATCAGAATGTTTTCATATATTAATCTAAATCGTCCGCCTCAGGGGAGGCTCTCGGAGCTAACCTTTCGGGAGACTCCTTCATATTGTTGGAGACTAATGGAGTCACTTCATTGTTTAGCTCTGTTTCTTCTTTTCGTCTGCGATCTAAAGTCGAAGTTTCGTCTTTGACATCAGTCACATCGACATGATTGTCATTAGTTCCACTTGGAACGATTATTTCATCAGTTTCATTGGTAGCGGAGTTACCAACGTCAACTTTCGTCACTTTGTTAACATCGTTTCTTCTCGCAATTTCTTCTATCTTTAAGTCGGCATCATTATTGGACGCAACGGAAGAATCTTTATCAGTATTTCGTACTTCCTGATTGGGTCGTGGTGTAAAGGCGGACTCAGGACTCTCTCCAGAAGTGTTTGATTCGACTGCATTACTTTCAATAGTTCCAGCGGAAACTACATCACCCGTATGAGTAGTATTTGTCTGCGCAGTGGATACAGAGGGCGATGTTTGTGTTGTAGATTGAGCAGTGTTTTGGACAGTCTGTGTAGTAGATTGAGTAGTAGGAGGAGAAGCCTGCGTACCCGTACCAGGTGCATCATGGTATGCTGCACCACTGGCTAAAGCAGCAATTTCTGCTAGGCCCATCATTCCCGCCATGCCACGATGTGTGCGAAGGAGCAGTTGCTGAAGCTGGGCTTGCTGTATTATCACCGGAAGCTCGTAATGATGGAAGAAGTACAACATTGAATGCTGCAACAAAAATAATATATTAGAAACTTTGTCAAACTGACCTACTACTAATACTATATTAAAAGTGAGGGCAATAGTGTCTTTGGTGGATCTCCATCCAGCCCGGCAGCGGATAGCGATATCTACAGCAGATATTGTGAATGCAGATTATGAGACACGTCCGGCGAACTGAGCAAAACTCTCTTAGACAAATAAATGAGCGACTCGTGACGGTGTCGTCATTCCTCCCGTCTTTATTTATTTATTTCTGGGTCAAAGTTCTCACCCCTCGCGACGTCCGACGTAAGTTTTAATTAAGAAACTTGCGACCGCTCCTGACTCAACTTTTATTTGAAATTATATTTTCTGATCCCCTCATTTTGATTTTTTCAAGTGGCGGTGTAACGGGTTTCCAGCAAAGACAAGTTGCGACACCTTCATGATTTATTGTTCAAGGTCTACAAATCGTTTCGCAGATAAATTGGAATAATTTAAGTGATTTTAACATTCGGGCGCCACTTTCAAAATACAACGCACTTTTGGAACATAATAAATAGTCCGGTCAAAATAGACAATCACCCTTGCATAATTTCCCAAGAAGCTAAATTGTTACATGAACGTTATGGATACCATTATAATGCAATTGTGAAAAGTCCCCATCGATCCAATGTGTACAAAAAAAGCAATTTTCTACAAAAATTGTCCTTCCACACACTCACTTAAGATTCACCATTTCTTATAAACGGCGATTCTAAAATTTACTAAAGTTGTATTCCCCACAATATGTATATATGATTGGTTGCATGATATAGGTAAAACTATTAGTCTGAGTGACCAATACATTAATATTGAATGACAATTCTGAGAATATGAGCTAAAAAAGACCCAGTCCCTTACTTTTTGTGACCATGTGGCCTTGAGCAACATTATACAATTCTGAATTAAATAAATTGAGTTTTGTTACTACCTTTTGTTTGTAGCCTAATATAAAACGTATAGACTAGACTTGGAACAGATCTTAAAAATAATTAAATTTAAACCAGATTTGGTTAATTATTTTGAGATATGTAAGAATATTTTTTATAACTTGGCAAATCTCACACACGACCGTCTGATCCCAAATTAGGCAGAGCATGTACTATGCTAACCAGACTGCCGATTAACATATATATTTCTAAATCCATACACATTACAGATATATCACACCCAGATACAAATGATCATGCTTGTCACACAATTATTCGCCCTGGGTGGGAATCGAACCCTTGAGGTCTGGTTAAACAGTCAGGGCGTATTGGTCTAGTGGTTAATGAACCACTAGACCAATACGCCAGTTAGATAGAAAGACTTATATTTTGTAAAAGAATCCGGTTTAATCAAATGCCCCTTTTTATTACAATTCTATATCATTGTTACACACGGACCTTCAAGTACATTCGTAAGATAGGTCAGTGGAACGGTACCAATGCGTACATTATACAGCCTTAATTAACACGACTCGTTCGTACCCCAATCTATTCGCAAATCATCGCCATGGCAAATATAAAAAAAGGATCAAACGTTTAAAAGGTATTAAATGGACAGAGATGACGCCCTTTTATACGTCCATTAAAATCGGCCGCTTTGAGATTTAACGCTCGCCCTGTTAGATAGATACGTGAATAAAAAACGAGCCCATTTTTATCAATTTTCAGATCGTTTGTAACAGATTACGTTGGCACAATATGAAGGCACCAAAAGAAGTTTTCTACAAGCTTAACTACTAACTAACTTAAGCATAACTATATAAAAAAATTCTAACATGGATGTGTGTTTAGATTTGGAATTAAAGTCTTTTTTTACTTGAAACATTAAGGCCTGTATTTTAAAAGGTGTCTCAGTCGTGAATCTTGTCTTAAAGCTAATTTTGAGTAGAGATTCTATTATTGAACGTCACTTAAAATGAGAGCTTATTTTAGAACGATGTTTATGTCGAAATCTTTACTCAGGTATAAATTTTGACAGCTGTGATCTTTGTTTATCATTTTTGAGGGAAAAAAATGTGTTTTATTTCGATTTATTTGATGATTTGTTTCTGAATAATTATGAAAGATTTGTCACACTATAAATAATTCACTTTAATTTACCTTAATTGATATTAAATTAACTGAAATTCACATTTTACACACACCATACTTGTTTAAATTAAAATTACCACAACCTTTTGGTTTATGTTAAAAGTATAATATTATTCTAGAAATATAAATTTTAGAAACATAAAAAAAACATTGTTAGACATTCCAACATGACAAGTGTTGATAAATAACTTGAACGTTCGGTTCTAGCCTATGTCTTGTCATTTTTATTTTAATATTTAATTTATATATAATTTTGGACGAGCAACAAGCTTGTTAATATGTTAGCATTGCTACACTAGCCAATAGTATGCTATATATATAAATATTCACAGAAATTATGTTTGTATTTTTTTTTTAATAATTACTGTCAATAATTACTGAATAATAATGTCAATCATGCGGAAACGTTGAAACTAGTTTCAACTGAGTAAAACTTAAAACGCGTTCTATGTTAAGATCGATACTTAAGTTTTGATCTACTCTTAAAACTAGTTTCAGGCAATCAGAGTTTAACCGATACTTGAGACGTCTTTTAAAATATGGGCCAAGAGTAAGTTAACATTAAATTCGTGGTTTGACTACGAAACTGGGATTTTAGAGCAGCAAAAATGAATATAATAATGGCACATTACTAGGGCACCCTATATGTGGAGCAATAACATATTATTATATCTTTGAAGGATTAACAATCACATCATACATCAGAATTTCTGTTTTTTTTTAAAACAGTAAACTTGTAGAGCTAGGCTAACTATATTATTCATGTCTATTGTTTGGCTATCTTTTTTTACAAACCGATTTTTTTTCTTAATATGTGTTTATGATTTGAATGAAATTATCCCTAATAGCTTTTACAGTTGTAAACTATATCATTAGTTCCTTTATGGCACGTATTGTTGCTTATAACAAGAGCATAATGAGCATCAACGTTCATAATTAGTGTCACCAGACCGGGGTAGTACACATCACCCTAAAGAAAAGCAGGCACGCAGGTAGTTATGATATTATTTTAGAGCGGTTAAACAAAGTTAAATACGATTAACATATTTGATTTTCGCTCATCGTTAGCCTTTCGCTAGACATCGTTCGCCATTGAAAATGGAATCTCTACACACACATGCAGTGTGTCGTATACTTTATGTAAAACAATGCAATTGTGCATAACTTGGAAGAAACAAAGCTTTAGCTCGCCCTAACACTTCAAAGAACTCCAGTTCTTTAAGATACATTTTTAGCCGCAAAATTGTCTTAAACACTTTTCAGGCGGCGCGTTGATTATGCCAAGACGGTAGAAAACTCCGACGAAAATAAAGTTATTTTGATTTAAAATGCAGAGAAAAAAAGCGAAAGGCGACGGCCTTCTTTACGCGGGGCAGTTTTTGTCTGAATAAATCCCTTCTCATTTAGTAAATCCCAGAGTCCCATGTATAAGACTGTCTGCTCTTACGAATGAAGGTGCAAAAACATTGTCGTCAGAGGCCTACTATTTGCCCTTAAATATTTTAGAGCTTGCCCTGAAGGTATCTCGGTATAATTATATATACAACAAAGTAAGCTACTAAGAGTGTTTGACTTAAGTTTAACTATAATTTGGAAGAGATCTAGAAGATTACAACACCCTACAATGTTTTGAACCTTTTCTGTTGATTTAGGACATGACAGATATTAACTGAAGCATATTAAATGTAAAAATTAATAAGATCTCGAGTAGGTATTCAATATAAAACAAACAAGCGGATAAACAATCTTACGGTGTCACAAATTGTTGGAAAGTTGTGCAATTATTAATTGAAAGTTAAATCCTATTTAAGACTCCTGTCAACAAGTTGTTTCGACTGTTCAAATTAATGTAAGGAGGATCTTAGGTCGGCGGAAATATTATGCGCAGCGTGTCGCGCTACTGGCCCGGGCCGACCTCATGAAATATGATTTTTAATAATAAGTTGACACGCTCGATGATTATAAGATAAGCCCCCACTTTGCATTCCGAAGGGCTCTTTTGTTTTTCGGCGTCCGCCCTTTCTATGCTGTAATCCGGTAGAGCCTACTTACTCCCCATACTGCGTTGAGCTCGCTCGAGGCACCTATCAAGCTCGAAACGTTCACATTTGCGATTTTACTTTTTACATAATTTATACTTCATAACATATACCCATAAAGGTATTGGGGTGATTAAAAGCTTTCTGTACATGAGATTTTATAAGATTTAGCGTTTAAAATTACACAGGTTTACAATTAAAATGTTTCGTAACAGTTAAAAAAAGTTCGGGCTTCAATGTTCGGGCTTAAACAAACTGTTGTTTTCGTCTTCTCAAAACCGTTTCCAGTTTTATTCATTAAGAGGTCGTATTTCATACGTTATACTAGCAGTGAGGTTATGAAATATCGGTTTTTTAATCTTTTAACACTAAATTTTTCCATAATTAGAATTTGCTCTTAATAGTAATAAAGTACTCTGGTGTACTACTAGTGTAAGATTTACTCACCTTTCATAATACTACTAATTAGCTGTGTTATCATTATTGCTTAAAACTAAAATATTCCGGTTATTCCTAATATTGTTATCCTTGCTATATATATTAACAACCACTGAATGGATTTTTATTATACACAAAACTTCTGAACCTAAACGCACTAAGTGATGTGACAAAGTTGAAAATATTTTTTATTCCCAGTAGTTCAATAAAGCCAGTTTGAGCCAGACAGTCCTGGTACTAATGTAACCTTAAAAATGTGCCAATTTTTGTGCCATTTGTTCCATGTAATTTTATACTACTTTTAAAGCTGTTTTTTTTTCTAACAAAAGAAAGTCCGGGGAAACTACTGAATGTTAGAAAATTAAATGACTGACATATAATAAATATGTAAGAAAGGTGATATTGTACATGGCAAATAAATAAAATG